ATATGTCACTATTCAGATTAAAGAAACTTAAGTGTTTGGTCATGTAGCTACATAAACATGATTCCATGAATGTGGATTGGGAAACTTCATGAGGACACATAAGCCAGATCAAAAAGAAAGACGGACAGAGAGACGGACAGGCTGGAGAGGAAATGAAAACTGACTTCTTCTGTTTCTTTTCCAAGTCGTAGTTGCGACTCTGTAGTCCCTGTATGTGGAGCTTGGTGTCCTGGAGCTCTGTTGTCAGCTTTTTACACTTCATCTTCAGCTTTTGCAGCGAGTGTTGCATGTCCTCATTTTCTGCCTGCAAATCAGCGAACTGTCTCAAACACACACACACACACACGCACGGTCATTATTTATTTAAATAGCAATTTAATCATTTATTTATTTATACGTTTTAATTACGAAATGTCTTGCCTTTCTCTCAGTTTGTTTCTTGCTCTGCTGCTCCGTCTCCAGCTTGTCCTCCAAATTCTGCCTGGGGTTCTTTTTACGAATGGCTCGGTTGTACTTTATTCGCCACTCTCCTCCTGCACGGTTGGTCAGAGTTTAGTGCTGAACAAAAGTCTCTAAAAAAAGTTTGTTTTTTGTCTTATCGTCGACGGAGGCCTGGCTTAGTGGACATAAATGGAGTCACTAAAAAACCTCAGAAGTCATTGATTTTATCATGGCAAATCGTATGACAAGTTGAACAACAAATATTGTTAATCCCAAAATGTCGCCCGAACAAGAATGCTTCTGTAGACGTGAGTATGACAAATTGAACATTCAACAACAAATTAATCCCAAAATGTCACCCGAACAAGAATGCTTCTGTAGACGTGTGTAATGTGTAGCTTCTAGCTCTACATACCATCATCGTTGTCTTCTATATCCCCGTTCAGGTCTGATGTTTTCATCAAGCGAGCTTCCATTAACTCCATTTCTTGTGATCTTAGTTGTTCTTTCGCAGCATCAAACTTCACCTGAAATCCACGAGTAAGGCCATTAAAAAAAAACCCACAACAAAACATTTCGAGAGTAATGTTTTTAGAATGTGTTTCATGATTTGCCTGTAAATCCTTTAGGTCCTTTTCCAGGTGAAGTTTATCCAAGGTCTCCGTCTCCAGCAGCTGTGAGAGTGACTCACTTGTACTTCTCTCATCAGCCAGTTCTGCCAGTAGGTCAGCAATCTGAGCAGAGTCAAGAAAGTACACTGGATGTGAAGTCAAAATCAACTTCCTCAAGTTAACTCTTCAAACCTTGATTTGACAAAGGGACTCCCCAAGGGATTCATAAAGACTGATCTAGCTCTATCCATCCATCCATCCATCCATCCATCCATCTAACCCCATTTATTCTTAGTGAGTATTAGTATTACTGACTATCAAGAAGTATTATGTATTGTATAAATTATTTATGTTTGTATTCATACTTGAGCTTTTTGAACACCTGTTCCAGAATCAGACTCACCCTGCTCTCCAGTTTATCCGTGTTCAGCGTTAGCTCTTTCCGCTCTTTCTCCATCTTTTCCATCTTTGCATTCTGCAGCTGCAACTCCTCCTGAAACACACAATAGAGCGAACCCCCTAAATGTCGGTACAGGTAAAATGACTTGACTACTCTCAGTTCAGCTGAGTGATATCTGTCAGACAAGGAGATCTGCTCACGTCTTTGCTTCGCATCTGTTCCTCCGTGAGTTGGACTTTGATGAGGGGTTGAATGTTCGTGAAGAGCTTCCACCACTGCCAGCCCTTCACACCACGGTTTTTCTTGATGTTTTTCTGGATGCAACGAATTGCTAGATCTTGGATCTAAGCACACGGCGAAAAAGAATTACAGAGAGAATTAGACTGTCATAGAAAAATATCAAGAGGTTATCCAGCCTTCAGTGCAAACACCGAAATACCAAAATGTGTTTCTTATTATGTCTCTTTACACCAAAAATTGTTTCTTATTATGTCTCTTTATCTATGGCCTTTCGAGTTCCTTTTTAATTTAAATTTTTTTTTCACAATCCAACAACAAAACAAATGTATGTGCTATAAGATATAATACTACAAATCCTGCCAGTACATAGAGGCTATATACTATCAGGCCAACTCCAGTACACATTTAATATGACTATCAGGCCAACTCTAGTACACATTTAATATGATCTCGCGGGCCAAATATAATTACACAACGAGCCAGATTTGGCCCCCGGGCCTTAGTTTGACAGATGCGCTGTTGGGTTTGTCGCAGCACTGGTGAGATTTATCCCAACAGCAGAGTGAACGGGCACTAATTGAACTGCATACAAATGCCATATAGAAAGATTATCTGCCCCAAGCAGGGCCAAAAATGTTCTTACTTTGAGGCAACAACCCTTAAGCAATATGTCACAGTATGTCTTGTTTGTGAGCAGCTTTACTATTATCAGAAGGGGAACAACGTCATAAGCTGGGTGAGACTAGTCAAAAGGCCTGATCCGGTCCACGGGCCTTATGTTGTTTATGGCTTGGACAGACCATTGTTCATTTTATTGAGACGTCTTGCCTACCTTTCTCTTTTTGCAGGCTTGTCGTGCCAGGTAGCCTCGACAGATTGATTGGAACAGGATCAGATTACGCTTGGTGTGTTCATCTCTCTGTTGCTCCAGCTTGGCCATGGTGCCAGCTTTGAAGAACAACTGGGGCGAAATGTACACAGTGAGGGAAAAGAGAGAGAGAGAGAGAGAGAGGGCGGGGTGGGGTCAAATGACGTCATTTGTCAAGGATGTAATCGTTAAAAGATGCTCAGTTGAGCTCCAGGATAAGTGGCTATTGTGGCTGTACATTAATGTAGGTACGTAGAAAACAAGCTGCTAATTCAAGTAGTCTAATGAAGCCGAGAATCGACCAAATGAGAAAGCTGTGATTACGTTCTTAACACTGTTATTACAAGCAAAGAGAAGGAGTGCATTGAAACATCACAGCTTCTCGAGTTGTTACTATGACTGGAGCTTCAGCAGGCGGGGCAAGATGTGACGTAGAAAAAGATGACCAATCGTAAGGTGAAAGGAAAGTCAGTCAGCAGGTGGCAGTGTACAGACAGAAACAATGGCTGTAAATCCAAACTAATATTACAAATGGGGTGGCTCATGTGTTCATGGTGTGGCGCCCTAACTCACCCTGCTCACTCCCATGTGGTAGTTGCTCTTCTCCAAGTCCAACGACTCCAGCAGCTCCTCCACCACCTTGGTAAACCCACACATACAAACACTCTTTTTGTCATGTTTTTTTTTTTTTCTTGAACTTGATACAAGACGAATTAGATGAATTTAAAGAACATTTAGGTTTTTTTAAAGCGGCTTTTTTGACAGAGTGGTTTCATGGTACAGCCAAAACTCTTTGGCCAAGCTGATAAAATACCCTCTACTACACATTTTTTGGTTCCTTATGTTTTCTTCTAATGCCCATGTTCATGAAACAGTTGAATGTCTACTATATTATCTCCATCTTGGAAGGATGTACAATGAACAAGGTTAAGTCTGATGACAAAGGGACTGACAAATCAGTGTCAGTTTTAATGGAACCATGTTCTCATAACATAACTCTTAACTCTCTCCAACAAATAGCAAGGTTTTTTACTTACTCTCCTCTCATCTTTCACTATGTAATTCCGTCCAAGCTTCTTGGTGAGGTGTGGTGCCAGCACATCGAAACGTCGTCGGAATTCGGAAAACACCATGTGGACAGGGAAACCTGCGGACGTCGGCACCATGAAACGCGGTGTGTCATGTATACAGTGAGTGTGCATTTTGGCAGGTGACTTTCCTGGTCCCCTTTAAGGGCCGCGGTCATATCCATTTACTTTTTTATTATTTAAAGATAATCGTGCAATATTTTAAAATAATAGGTCACGGGGACCACTGGTATAGATGTAACTACTCCATCACAGACTTATACATGTTTCTGCAATTGATTATTATTTATTCAAGCTACAAATATTGTATATTGTTCATTGCTTTGTAATAAGAAACCATTTAATTCCATAGGTTAAGCGGGCCACACAAAACGGCTCGGCGGGCCGCATTTGGCCCCCGGGCCTTGAGTTTGACACATATGCCTTAAAGTATTTTTAAGAAGATACTTTTAAGAAAATGGTGATTAAATCCAGTTGTTGGAAAATCCAAGGTTTTTTTTTTAAACTGCAATGGCAGAAAATTTCAGGTAGAACTTGTGTGTTAATAACCTAAGCAGCAGCAGCACTTTCACCTTGTCTGTAGATCTGGAGAGAATCCAGGAGCTTGGAGCCTCGAAGCTGAGCACGGAGCAGCGCTGCATCCAGCTGGATTGAGCCTGGATCTCCATTTTTTCCGTGAGCCTCGGATCCAGTTAGATTCTTCAGGGCGTCAGCCTTGGGCAATATGCAGTGGATGAAGTGGATCCTGGACCTCTGGACCATGTTAAGAAGAGCATCCTGGAAAGCAATGACAGTAAAAATATTAATCTTTTTTTATTATTTTATTATTATTTTATATGATATTTATGGGTAAAAAATCAGGGATTTTAATAATAGTATAAAAAAGCAGATAAAACTATGTTGAAAAAAACGTATTATATATATTTTTGGGAGTGAAGTTAAGATAAGATATATATTTGAAGAGGTAGCTGTTGATTTTAAGGGTAGTTAGCATAAAACCTGTTGAGTCATCAGGACCAGAACACCACTTCTCACCGCCACATTTAACAACCACAAGGTACATTTTAAAGCACTGTGCTTTAAATCATAAAATAAATGTTTCCATTACTTAGTTCCATCACTTAGATGCACTTCAACAAAGCCTAGAAACCTATTTGCCCCCCCCCCCTCCATCTTTCCTTACCACTTGAAGCTTTATCTGAATGCATGGCGACTTTTTCTTTATGGCTGCCACCCCTGTGGTGAAAGTCTTTCTCATGCTAGTGGTCCGTCGCAATCCAAGCTGGGAAGCACCTTCAAGGCCCGCGATGGAACCAGACGAAGCAGTGGCTCCAACTGTCCGGCTCGTGAACAGTGAGCTAATGATCTTCCTGCACAAAAAAAACAGGCCAAATCAGCACCACGTGTTGATGGATTTGATATCCAGTGTAGCACTTTGTGGCACTTACTTTTGAGAGTTGTACAGAAGGCCGACGGCGTTTGTGGAAGCGATGTTCTGCTTCGCGTAGTTAAGCCATCCAGAGACGTTGTATTCGACCCAATCTGTCCCGTGACTGTGCCCCAGTAGAAAATGATTGTCTTTTTCACTCTTCAAAAGAAAAGCATGACCTGATGTATAATGTAAAAAGTGCTGTGAGAATGGACATAGACAGAGAGGTTCCACAAATACTCTACACCAGGGATCACCCAATCCCTGGTTCGTGGACCAGTACAGGTCTCTGGTCAGAAGAGAGTTGTAAATATATTCAAAGAAAAAGTGGAATTCTGAGGGACATACTGTCAGCCTAGAAGACTCGAAGTGGCTGAGAGTCAGTAGCAGTAGCCGAAGCAGATAGAGCTTAAAAGATGTTCAGCGGGTCGGGTCAGTTAAGGATAGTGAGGATGGAGTGAGGAAGTGTGCTACGGTGATGGAAAGTTTGACAGATGAGGTCAGGCAGGAGGCTCTGTGAATCATGATATATGCAGTTGACATTCTAATCTGTGGTGAGAGTAGTGAGCAGTGGTGAGGAAAATGGAGATGAAGTGGATGGAGGCTAAAAAGGTTGAATAAGGTAGTACATGTTGGTTATTTAATATCTGTTCAGATACTTTATCATTATGTCATTTGGTTACCTGCATATACTACGTACGGTATATGTTAAAAGTTTTGTAAACATGCATGGGTCTCCTTGCCTTTACTCTTTCTCTCAGCGGGTCCAAAGTAGCTAAACAGACGTTCCAGCAGCGTCTGTTCCGATCCACCGGGCTGCACCGACTCCTCCTCCATCAGCCATAATAGACCGCGCGACTCGTCAGTTCGAATTGTACGTACCTGTCAGACAAATGTAAAAATAAACAGTATACAAAGATCACACAGCGACGTTCAACCAGAAAAATCCTTCACTCCCTCAATAGCTTTCTTCTAAATCTTCCTAGAAATATGGATTCAATTTGGATTCATTTTAATATGAATTTTTTTTTTTTTTTTGCATTTCCTGTACGAAATCTGCATTCCCATATTTTTGTTTGGGTGCAACTGACAAAAGAGATGGATTTATTCTGAATTCTTCTTTATCAAAAAGCTTTCTAACGTTAAAACCTAAAATAAGAATGAATATAAAAATGTGTTAGAGTCTAAAGTCATTATGTAAATATTCACTCTACATAACTGTTAAAGTAGAAGAAATTAAGTCGACAAACGTGGCACTGATCTTACCAGTGCCTGACTTGAGGCTTGGTCTATCACTGGCACTGACAGAGACACGCTGGGTCCTGTGTCCTCTAAAGCAATCTCGATGTTCTCCTGAAGAAGATAGAAAAACCACAGTCGTATACTGATGGATCAGAAGGACAAATAACGTAGGTGCGTAGATCTGGGGCAATGATGGACTGATAGAATCGTTAATATGGAAAAATGTCAAGTGTACACAGGGCCGAAATAGGGAGAGAGAAATGGACAATATGTCAATCCTCCTCACGTCTTTGTGTCTCTCCAGCTCCTCAACAAAGGTGCGTTGGTAGAAAAGATCTTGCAGCCGTTCCTGAGTGTAGTTGTGACAGAGGTCATCGAAGGTCGCACCGCACTCACGCCTCATCAGCCTTGGGTTTTGAAAGCCTGGCGTGTCCACAATGAGCAGGGAGCACAGTGAGTTGTGGCTGGATTTCAAGCTCCTGTAGGACATGAAACCACATGAACAAAAATGTAAGCCAAAATGATTGAGGTGATATTTATGGATCAGCTATGGGCTTAGATTTGAATCCTGGGTCAAATATATAATATACTAACCGGTTTATGAACGAGATTAGGACAGTGAAGACTTCAGAGTACAGCCCTGATGCCAAGGCCTCGAGACACTCCATCGCTGTAGCTTTGGATCCTAGCAGCGAAAGTAGCCAGACATAGAACGAATCAGATATAACAAGCAGATAATCATTTTTCATCCTTTGGCTTGGTTTGCGACTTATATATTAAAATACTGTATATAATTTCACGTTTGTTTTTTTCACATTGACAGCCGCTAGAGGGCACTCTAGACTTATGGACCAGTATTTGCTACTCCTATACCACTGAAAGTATACACGTTTGTTATTTTCACACTGACAGCCACTAGATGGCACTCTAGACTTATGGACCAGTATCTGCTACTCCTATACCACTGAAAGTATACACGTTTGTTATTTTCACACTGATAGCCCCTAGAGGGCACTGGAGCGAGACTTATATATGTTTTCTCTTTTTCATTATGCATTTTTGGCTGGTGCGACTTATAATCTGGAATGTCTAATAGTCCGGAAAATTAGGTATGTTTAGAGCCAGACAGAAAAGACAAGGAAAAACATTGTGTGTGCTGGTGTGTAATTGTGTATAAATATGTTTGAGTTTTTTTGTTTTTTGACTACCTGCATCTGCAGAGCAATTTTCTTCAGACGTCTGACGGCAGGTACCACTTCTGGCTTGGTTCTTAAAGACGGAGGAGGAGAGCTCTTCCAGGGTGCAGCCTAGCAGGTAGGCTGCCTTCTGGGCCCACTCATGACGTGCAAATTGTTTTCTGCCAGCTGAGACACACACATTAAAAGGCTCCATTAGTCACTCTGCCAAGTTTTCCCCGGCGCGCAGCTGCCATGGTAGCCTTGTTACAGTCATTCTTTTTTGACAGGGTAGAATTACTGTATTTCTGTGGTCAAGCTGACACAAACACAGCTGCTAAAATGTGCACTTAAGGCACAAGGTAATTGATGGCTGTGGTTTGAACTTATTTTCCCGTCATGTCAAAATGCTTTTTCTTTGTAGGAAAAAAAACTTTTTTTAAATGTAGTTATTAAAAGCACTAAGTAAAGTATTGTACATTACAGGGTGTCTGAAAGGCAATCTTTTCTTTTTGCCCTCTTATCAACACTTAAAACGATTAAGGAATATTGTAGTATTTTTTTTATTCAAAATAAGGAGTCTATATAAATGCAAGTAAATTAGGTAGTTGACAGAAAGTATTTAGATAGCATCTGTGCTCATCTATTAAAAGGCCATCCTCTTCCTGTGTATAACCATGGCTCGATTCAGTATTTGCAGTCAATAAACGATTGCTGCCCTCTTGTGTTATTTCAGGTCTCTACAGTTACAGATTAATATTAACTATTGTTCTAATATATTTCTGTTTCCAAATTTCGAATTAAAATAATCAATCGATCCTAAAATATGTATTAAGTTCAAATACATCTTTAAAGTGACTGCTGTTTTAGCCTTTAGTGACATAATACACACTTTATATTTTCTAAATATCATCATACGGTATATTCATCAGTCTCACATTTGGTAGCTCCTGCTGCTCCTAGGTGACAGATGGCTCCAAGAATTAGCCAAAAGGCTTTCTGCTCATCAGTGGTGATGCCCAGCATCTTCATTGCTGCCTGAAGTTTGAGGAACTGCTGTGAGGCCCATTGCTTCTCCTCAGTCTAACACAGAGCACAAAAACACAACACATTATTACCCATATATTAAAGCATGAGCCACATTGTTATTTGTTTACCAAGCGAGGAGCATTTCTCTAATCAGGGGGTAAGACTTCTAGAAAACTATGAAAACAAGTGTGCTTGACTTACCTTTGACAGATTAACAATGTTAAATACATTGTTTTCTGCAAAATAGTTGAAGTGCAGTTCGGTCCTGGGGAAATGAGAGACAACAACAACGTTATTATCTCTCATAGTGATGCTGTTTAAATGGTGAAGAGCCTCACGATTGTTTACTGTTTACTGATTGTTACTGTCGCCAACCTGAGAGAGCTGTCCACTCCCGCCATAAGATAGTAAAACACATTAAAAGTAGACTCTCCGTCGGGTCTCCTAGTTACCCTCGTCTTCTCCAGAAGCATTGCCTGAAGTAATAGACATGACATTAGTAAATCTCACAAAAAGTATATGTATTGAAATACAATCATCTTATAGTTTAAATAACTTCATTATTGACTTAAATCTTGGCCTGTTTAGTTGAAGATGACGCTGATATACTGGCAGGAATTGAAGAAAGACACTCACAAAGATCTTCAGCAGCTCTGATTATCTTTTTTTTAGTTTTCATAGCCCTCTGCTGCCACCTAGCAGAATATTATTTAATTGTTCTGACCTTTATGCTTTGACAAGCAAAAAAATTATATGCAATAAATAAGCCCAATTAGGTGAAATTGGATAATTTTCCACGGCACACCTAATGATCTCTCATGACCATGGCACAATAGCTCACTGATTCGTCTGACACATGTGATTTTTATCTATTTTTTTGTCCACATGCCACAATAGCGGCCTGGCTCAACGATTCGTCTGACAGATGTGATTTTTATCTATTTTTTTGTCCATATCCAAGCTGTCTGTCTAGAATATTTCTGGCCCTGTGAAAATTATTTTTGGTGAACATCAACCTGTGTACCTGTATAGAGGCCGAAGACAGCTGGCCTGTCTGGTCAAAGTCCAGGGAAACAACATGGGAGAAGCAACTTGCGTTACCGTTTATACAGCTAGAGGCATTTCCAAATGCCTCTAGTACTGTGTAGACTGCCTGCCATTTCTCTGCTACAGACAAAAACATAAAAAATACCTGAAAAAATACCAACAGTGTACAATATAATTTTACGCACTGCCATTTACAGTCTTTATCCTTTGTTACCCACCAGAGAATGATTTGTTTGCACTCCCAGCTACAGTGACCAGATATTGAACGATGTGCTGACAGTTGGTGGTCTTGCCACTAC